CACTCTTACCACGTGATTTTTGTGGGACATTATGTGTTTGGGGAGGAATGTGTGTTGTTTGTATTTGTTTTTCTCCTTTAGTGTTCCTTGCCAATTATTAACAAATATTATCTGCATCGTAACTGTTTCTGGGCACTTTGTGTCCTATAAATAGATTCTAAATGTAAGACATATTATTATATTGAGTGGCCATCCAATAGGCAGTATCATTTAAAAAGGCATCTTGAAGGAAAACAACTCTTCCTTATCAGTCTTTATTTTGCTTTTCCATTGACTGGTATTGCTGATGGGTCTTGAAGTACAATAGGGTGTTACAAGTTAAGTGGTATGTAATTATGTGGAAGACTGCCCAATTTTAGTCATTTCTTTTAAATCTACTTGATAGCTTATCTTCAGAAATTATTGTCACCAGTCTAATCTATAAAACAATATTAATTCTACTATCCTAACATTTACACTTATCGTGCAATTTAGGTCATTATTATGGGTAAGTTTGTGCTTAGAGATATTTGTTTCTACGTCTACCTATGACATTTTGTAACATTATCTTAGTTCTTTGCCTTTCCAATATGAAAGTGTTATCACTTATAAATATATGAAAACAAAGCTAGGGCTGAAAAAATGGGATTTAAAATATTAAGTCTGGAGCATCACTGAAAAGTGAAAAAAATGTTAGGCATCTTAGCATCCTTTAGCTAGTTATTACTGACCTGTATGGACTCTTTCCAAATTAGACTTTTCTTGAAAATTTTCTAACTTCCATTCCTATTAAATTGACCATGAAAGTGGCGCTGAGAGAGAGAGATTTTTTATGACACTGTTTCACTGGAAAATATTACTAAGGTAGGAATAGAATGTCTATCTCTGGAAATTTTTACACACACCTTAGCAAATTGAGAACTAGTTAAGAAATGGTTTTGCTCAATAGATTGAGAGCAGCGTTTCCCAATAGCGTGTGCCTCAGGTCCTTGGTGGAGCATGGTTTTGTTTTTTGGAAACAGATGGTTTTTGGGGCAAAAATGGACTCCAAGGTCAAGTAAGTCTGGGAGACTGAGTTAAACAAAGAAAAATTAAGTTTCATTAAGTCTAAAAGACAACTTAGGAACATTAATAAACTAATATGCTTCACGAATATCCAAGAAGGGTATATGTAACATCCAACATTTCCTCTGGATTTTTTTTTAAAAACACAGAACATGTATTAACATCTTTCAAAGCTGCATAGAACTCAGTTTGGCAAATACTAATGCAGAGAAATGTAAAGTCCACTCACTATCTGTCCTTCTTAATGGATTGTATAAAATATCTGAAAGGAAACTTGTGAATAAAAGTAGATGTAAAGTTCAGTGAGTTAAATACACAAAATTAGCA